ATATATATAAACACATACATATTTCAATGATTGAAAAACTTTTTAGTAATAATCAAAAACAAAATCATGAGGATTTAGATCCAAAGCGGACAATATCTCATCATTATGGAGTTGTGTGTAAAATAACTTTATAAAAATATAAAAAAATTATAGCTCTTATAAAATATCTCTTCAGACAAATACCATAAATAACTCTAACAGTAATATCAGAGCTACAAGTTGGATTCGATGACAACTAATAAGTTATAACCCTTATAAAGTGATAATGTGATATACAAAGACAAATTTTGTTGTATGAAAGATTAGGTCCCTTTGTTGGAGTTCAAGTATAAAGTGAAATCTCAAATTTGTTAGAGTTAGGCATGCTAAATAGTATATAAATGAGAAAGAATCACCTATCTAATGCCTTAAAATTTTAGGTTATGTTATGGTGTCAAAATTCATTCGTGTGACTTACTCACTACATCCTTGTACATCAATAAAATAAGAAGAGAAATATCAAGTTATAATCCTTATAAAATATCACCTAAAATAAATACCATAAAATAACTCCAACACAAACAATAACAAAAATATATACCAAAAAGTGTGTACATGTGGAAAGATCAATTTATTAACTATTATATTGTTAATAATTTTACATTAAACAAATTTTGTTGATTCAGAACTGTTAATTATAATTTTATATTATTTTATATATTTATATTAATTTTTTTAAAAATTAAATAATAAAAAATATAATCAAACAATTCATATTTTTAAGTATATTTTAAAAAGTGCATATTATATCAATTTTGATTTATATATAAATGAGATATCAAATAATTTTGTATTAATATAAAATTTTGTATATATAATGTAAGAGAAATGAATTTTTAATTTAATAGTAAATTTTTAAAAAAATAATAATTTAATTAAAATTATTAAAAATGATGTAACAGTTTATAAAAGTTACACCAATATAATTTTATCATTTTTCCCACACATATGTATTCTTTGGATTTTAATATTTTCACGTTGTACAACTAATTTATTGAAAAATAATTTTATACCGAAACTTAATTTCATTCAAATGGAAAACACTATAAGGATATTTGTAAGTTAAAAGTACCTTTTGAATCATATATATATATATATATAGAAGGGATTCTTTTACTCTAAAAGTAAGTCTACCTAGACTTATTCCGTTCAATGACTCATGTTCTATATCAAATTTTAACGATCCAACCATTCAATTTAAAGTTCTTAATACATAGATCAAATCTACAAATTTTTATAAAATTTAAAAATTATTTAATACTTCGTTTCATTAATTTGAATCAATGTATAAAATAATTTTATGATTATCCGTCAATTTGAATTAATGAAACGAAGTATTAAATAATTTTTATTTTTTTTTTTAAATTTGCATATTTGATTTATGCATTAAGAATTATAAATTGAATGGTTATATCGTTGAAATTTGATGTAGAACATGAGTTATTGAACGAAGTAAGTTTAGGTAGACTTACTCGTAGAGTAAAAGGATCCCTCCTCGTGTATATATATATATATATGTGTGTCGTGTTGTGTTTATTTCAATCATCTGACATTCGATTCACATGTTTATATATTTTAAATATTTTTTACACCATCTTTTAAATATGTTAATTAATTATTATTTGAAACACTCCAGTAATGGAGCTGGAATCAATAATTGAGAATAATAAAAGTTTACTTTTTTAGTTGATTTATGACCTAACATACAGGTTTTGCACGTGCAAATACTTCTAAACTTATAACTGTTTGAATAAATTTATCTAAAAACATTTATGAGAGAATAATATACAAAAAATTCTTTAAAATTAACCTTTAAATAAACTAATTTATAAAAATAATCTCATATCATGATGTTCAAAAAAAAAAATATTTAACTTATGTACATATATAAACTAAATAGAGCTTCCCCCACCCCTTATTATAAGTATTTAGAAAAATTTATCTAATTAAATTAACTTGTGATTGATTTCTCGCCATATATTAATTTGTTTCTCTATAAAAGCCAACCCCGGGGTCATTGAGTTTACATGTTCATAGTTCTTGGGATCTTGGTCTGGGTGAATGAAGATGGCAGTAGGTAAGAGAGTCATGTACGTGTTTTTGACTGCATTTTTGTGGTTGAATGCTCAACATGCTTTTGTGAGCTGTACTTTGACATCAGAGTTGCAAAGCAAAATTGCTAAAGTAAACCAAGAGGGTCCTTATCTAGGTTTAATCATACCAAATTCGTTTGAACTAGACCCTCTTCTTAACAATCCAGGCTACACTGCTAGTGATACCATCATAGATGTCGCAGGTAATTTATATTAAATATCTATCCAACACGGTTATATTTATAAGTAATTTTTCCAGGGTCAAATCATGTACAATAATTTTTCTTTTACCATTTTAATTTTTATGACTATTACGAAGGAAGGAGATTCCGGTTTGGAGCCATTGGCGATCAGTCTGTGATTTTGGTCATGACAGGCTTGAGTGTGGTATGGTTTCACTAACATTGTTTTCTACATTTTTTTTTTCAAGTTGATATTTTTAAGGGTATATTGGTGACTGATGAGTTGAAAAATGCAGATAAATGCAGCTATAACGACTCAGCTTCTGTTGAGTTTATTCTCAGTAGAAGGAGTGGTGCATTACGGCATTGCTGGAAATGCAAACCCCTCCTTGCATATTGGAGATGTAGCCATTCCCGAATCCTGGGCTCATCTTGCACTTTGGAGCTGGCAGGTGCATTACAATATTTCACTTTTTTAGTTTTATTTTTAACAAAATATATTTTTTATCCCCTCTATTTTTCTTAGTTCCTAAATTTTTTCATACATTTTGATAATGTAAAAATGGTCTCCTGGTTTAGAAGAAAGACATAGAGTTGGAGTGATAAGGAGTGAATATATTTTAATTCACTCAATTAACATAATACATTAATTATTAACATTTTTTTATAAAAAAAATATTTGGATACCTCCATAATTTTACATCTCGTCAATATTTATTATTTCTCTTTATCTTCTTTTTATAAAATCTAATAACTTATTACATCTATATTTTTCTTTTCTTCCTCTTCTTCTCATAGGTGCTGTGGTGTGAAAAAAGAAGAAAGAAAACCTAAAAATGTAGATATGAACTGATGAGATATATATTTTAGGAAGAGAAAATAACAAATGTTTGTGAGATGTTCAAATATCGTAACTCTTAATAAAACATTTATAGGACTAACACCATTATTTTAAAATATTTTGGGACACTGCAACAAAATTTAGTATTACTGATAATTATTTAATGACAATAAATTAATTGTCTCTATTTTATTATTTAATAAAAATATTAATGACTATTATATAATGATCACTAAAAATATATTTACATTACATTAAAATTTACTATTAGCGATAATTATTTGTTAGAAAAAACTTAAGTCCCACATCGACTAGAAATAAAATAATTAAAGAGTATATAAGTGAATGATAACTCTCACCTTACAAGTATGTTTTATAAGGTTGAGTTTGGCCTATAACTTACTATTCTAAGTTGGTATTTAAGAGATAAGATAATTAAAAAAATTAAAGAATATATACTTAGAAGATAACCTTCATCTTCTAAGTCACACATCAATTAGAAATAAGATAACTAAAGAGTATTTGTACTCATCTTACAAGTCCTACATCGATTAGAAATAAGATAATTAAAGAGTATTATAAATCTTTTTTAAATTTTTAGCAGCAATTTTAAATGCCAGTAACAAATGATACAAAAAGTTATACACTTTTTTTCGACCATTATGAGGGTTTTTACCAGTATATAGAATAATTGCCGGTAAATATTTTGGCGACACTACATATAATGGCTAATGTGTGAAATGCCGGTAAAAGATTTTTTAACGATTTTTATTGTCACTAAAAATCATATTAAATGCCACTAAAAATTCATTTTATTGTAGTGGGAAAAACATATCTTTTATATATACATACATATATATATATATATCTTTTTACTTATTTATTGAGTTTGAACTGCGCACGAATTTAATAAGAATAACTAAACTCTTTTTGCTGAGTTTTTACAAAACTACATCTATTTTTCTACTAACTAAACTCAATGGTTCGCTGGTTCTTATTATATCATCTCTTATTTCTTCGAAACGAAAGAAAGAAAAAAAACTCATATATCATACATAAGGTATTTATTGTCACTACAAGTAAAAGTGTAAATAAGTGTTATTTATTTATTAGAAAGAGAAAGAAGTTAAGATTAATTTTTTTATATGCAAAATATTATTGAGAAGGGGTTAAAAAAGTACTCCAACTTGTTATCAAGATACGACCTATCCAAAAGGACAAATTAATAAGAACCTTTCAATTGTAATGAAAAAAGTAAGTGCATGCTTTTACTTTTGGTCTGTAGACCTATCCAAAAGGACAAATTAATAAGAACCTTTCAATTGTAATGAAAAAAGTAGGTGCATGCTTTTACTTTTACTTGTTTTGTGTAGATGAAGTACAAATGACTTTTTCTGAATGCTTGGTAACCCATGGCGCGGAGACAAAATAAATTCTAATTAAAGAAAAAGAATTGCGAAATGGTTTTTAAGAAATTTATTGCAAAATGAATTAGAAAAATGTTTTGAAAACGTAGGATGACATAATATGCCAGAATTCAAACAGCCTTCGTTTTTATATATTTAATTTCTGTAATGTGTTAGTTAATGGATGTGATCTGTCACATTAATTAATTAACCGACCCCGTTTGGAATTTGACTGTGCAATTTATTAAATCATTATATATAGATGCGTGGAAGATTAAGGAATGATTTGGGTGTTATATGTTTGCAGAGGTATGGATTAGGGGCAGATAATACATTACCATTGGAAGACAATGGAGACTACACGAGGGAATTCGGATACATAAAATTTGCAGATTTCACCTCAAACGTGACTGGGGACAGTCCAGTTGACAACCAACTAAACAATATATGGTACCAACCAGAGGAGATTTTTCCCGTTGATGGCACTCCAGAACAAAGGCAACATGCCTTCTGGGTTCCGGTTGATTCCAAATACTACCACATTGCTAAAAAATTGGAGGTAAGTCACCCCAAACCCTAATGCTATATCTAGGTTAGCTTTTAATTATAAGAAAAAAAATTAAAAATAAAAGAGAAATTAAATTGAAAAGATATGTTGTTTTGTTGGATATACATAAGGAAGTTTGTGGAACATTTAATTTAATTATCTTCCTCTTTTCTAATGACCTACTTTATTTATGTATGTACTATAAATAGATAATGATGAGAGCAGGTAGCCTCGGATTAGAAGCTAACAACAATTTGTTTCTCCCAACATATTAAAAAAAAATGCGTAGTTAAATAAGGAATCAATTTAAGATGATAGTTGGGTTGGGTGGGCCGAAAACGATATATTATTGGAGCTAGCTACCTACTTGATCGGGAAAATCTAGCGGGTGACGTATAGTTTTGTTTTTATACTATATTTTAATAATAGCATGGCCACCCAAAATTGAAATTGCAAGTGGTGGACACGTGTTTTGTCCAATGCCAAAATATATCAATAATATAATTATTTATATATATATGAGAGACTAAGAATGAATGAAGATGATGTATTAATAATATTGTGACATGTGGTGTTAAAACATGAATGAATTTTTGTCAGGGCTTGGAGCTAGAGTCATGCATAAACGCGACGACGTGCTTATCAACAACACCAAAGGTGGAGCTTGTGAAACGAGGCATTAGTCAAAGCATATACCTAGACAATGCAGCATATCGTTCTTTCATCTACAACAAATTTGAAGTGAGTCCAGTGGACATGGAAAGTGCATCGGTGGCTCTTATATGCCTTCAACAAAGGCAACCCTTCATTGCCATTAGGGCACTCTCCGACTTGGCCGGTGGTGGCTCCGCCGAGTCCAACGAGGCTGATACCTTCTTGTCAATCGCTGCCACCAACTCCGTCACCGTTGTCATTGAGTTTGTCAAGCTCTTGTCACTTCACTCTAAGTCCTGGTCCATGTAATATCATGCTGTTTCTTTCAGAACTCCACGTGTACTTGTCTTGTTTTGGAATAATAAAACTCCTGTGGACCATATTTTGATAAATTTATAAAATTTATCATTTTTAATAAATTTTAGATAATGACATTAAATGTTAAAAATATAATATAGAAAGCATATTAATTTCTAGCATTTATGTACCGAGAAATTCTAATTCCTCCGAAAATTTGAGCAAAAAAATAAGTCGACCCATTTAAAAACCTACACCAGTCATTGCATTTGATTATAAATTAATTGATTTTGAATTTTAAATTTTTTTTATCTTTGATCGAAGGACATGTGGTTGTCATGTGATGGTTCTTGCTTGGTAGTAGAATATATTCTCACGGATTTCATGAACATCAAATGCGACAACTAACGTTTCACCGTTTAACTATCTACATGGTAATGGTATAGACTAGAGTTTTAGCATATCGTAAGATGTTAACCATTATTATTTTAATAATTTATTATTATTATTATTATTATTTTAATTATCAATCTTATCAATTAAAGTATATATTTTTTATTTAAAAATTACGATACCGGATATCACGAGATATGCCTTGAGACATTTAAATCTTTTAATAATTTTATAAATCTCCGGTCTCCACGATAAATTAATTAATCAAGCAAAGCAAAAGGTTCGTTTCTCGCGGAAGGTAATACTTTTATACTCCAGTAATACGTTTTTTTTTTTTTTTTTCACTTATACCTCTCTTTCTCACTTTTTAAGAGTCAAAACATTTGTGTCACAAAATTAAGGTATCAAACTTTTCACATTAATATCGCTAAATAATTTAATATAGAATATGAAATTGATGAATTTAACTGTTGAATTAATTTTTTTAAAATAGATTAAATTTATAAAATTTATGCAAATTTAAAACTAAGATACTTTATTGCACTTTTTCTTTTATGTTAGTCATAATTTTTTTATTTAAAATATAAGTCGATATCGACATTCTCTATCTTGACTTTTGATTTAGGTTAAATTGTATTTTTTGTATCTTTATTTTTATTAATTTATAATATTAATTTTTTTATTTTAAAATAGAGATATTTAGTCATTTTTATTTTAAAAATACAAAATTTTGATTTTCCTATCAAATTAATATTTATTAATAATTAATTTTAATGTTTAATCATACTTAAATAATGTAATATTTAATAACATGACATTTAGAAATAAAAAAAAATATATACATAAATTTTTTATTAATAAAATAAATATTAATCACGCGTAAAAATATACATAAACAAAAAAATTTGCATGTTATTTTTTTTTTATCTTTATGTATCATGTCATTAAATGTCACATCATTTAAGTAATGGTAAATCATCACACAAAATCAAAATTTAATAATTCATAAATATCAATTTAATGATAAGACCAAAATTTTTTATTTTTAAAAATAGAAAGACTACCTTAAAAAAAATAGAAAGACTAAATATTTATTTTAAAATAGAGGAATTAAAATTACAAATAGATAAAATTGGGTTAATAAAAATTAACTTATAAAAAAGTAAAATATAATTTTTCTCTCTATGTGTGTGTGACCTTTTGATTAAATAATTGATTTGATAAATTTAATTTATAAAAAAATTACTCTGTGTATGTGAGACCTATTAATTTAATAATTTGGTTGATAAAAAAATATCTTTACTAAAGCTTCATTTTTACCAAGAATGTCAAAAGGTAATTTCCTTTGAGACATACAAATTATCAAAGTAAGAATTGTCATTTTATTAATTTAAATTATAAAAAATTTAAAAAATAACTTTTCTAGAGTTGTTTTTATCATGAACGTCAAAGATTGATTTCCTTTGAAACATACAAATTATCAACATAAATTTTGTCTCTTTCAATAAAATTTCTCTATACACATAATTTCTTATGTTACCGATCCCGATTTTTCATTTATCTTATATTAGTAAACTCGATTTGAGTTATGAAATTTTAACTAAAGTAAATGAATCATAGATTACAATTTTTTTTTGTTGCTAACAATTATTTTATTTGATTGTTCTCTTACTCTTTTATATACTTGTCAAAAAAAATTGGAAAACTTCTCCATAACTCATAAAAACTTAAAAAATGTAACGTGGTATTCACTAAGGATATCTTTCAATTAGTCCATATTTGTAGATTAACTATTTTCCAAAGAGAAAAATTATTTAAGGATGTCAATCTAATAGGAGTTATTAAGTTCAAGAGCGAGTTAATTTCATTATAAAATAATAAACTATTATTTAAATTTTTACTTAAAAAATATCTATAATTAATATGTGATTGTGTCTTATCATAAAATTTCTGTTGGAAAATACTTGTGAGAATTAAAAAAAAAACTATATAATATCAATTCAGAAGAAGAAGGAAATAACTTTATAATAGCGTCATGTATATTCTCCTAAACTTTTAATTGTATTCATTTAGGGAACACAAAAAACGACAAGGAAGTATCTATCATTGTCCGGTGTGTGATTATAATTTTGAAGCCGAATGATAGTAACCCACCGCTTTTAGGCCCAACTATTGGCAACAGTTCTCCAGACCCATTAATCACAACCGGGCGCATATGTGTAGGCCTAGTGCGGGCCCAATTGTTCCAAATGCTCTTTTTTTTTTTTTTTCCTTTCTGATCTGCTTGGATATATTTCTTCTAGAAATTTCTAGAAGAGAATAATAGAAAAAAAAAAAATCCACAAGTTAAAGCTAGTTTATGAATGAGTTAAAAATAAGATTTTGAAGAAGTTAATAGGAAAGAATTTCTACAAATATAGATTAACTTATGCATAAATTAATTTCATCTTATGAAAAAACTTATTTCATTTTTTTTCTTTCTATTTTTCTCTCCTAAAAGTACTTTAAAAGAAATTTAACTAAACAAACCCACACCTTTATAATAATTTCGTATCCTATGTGTAGGAAGGACATCCGTAGATATTTTCTTTTATGCCTTTAAAAGGGTGTGAACCTGAGTCAAATACTTTGATGATTATGAAGAAATTATTCCCTGAATTAGCTTTTTTCTCTAGATAAACTGGTGTGGTCCTAGCTCCCCTAATTTGTGCAGTGTCTATCACTAAATTACTCAAAAATGATTAGGTAAGTGATCTAAAGAGAAAATGCATTACGAGAGAAAACTATTTGTTTCTCTCTTTACTAAAAATGACATTCACATCGAGGATGTATAGAAGAATATATTTGTGGTGAAGAAAATCAGTAATTATTTTTCAATGTGCATAATTATATCGACACTGTTAAAATACAAAAATAGATGGATAATTAAATATTAATTTGATCTTTGCGTTGCAATGCTTTGACAAAGAAATTAAGGTCTGGTTTGTAACAAAAAATTACTTTTCTTTTTATTGATTATTTTGTTTTCTATTTAAAAAAATATGAATAAAAATTAAAAATAACTAAATGATCTTTTTTATACATATAAACTTTAGACTTATACACACCATGATAGTGAATACACCTAATTATAATGACATTTGTATAATTATAATGACATGTGATAAAGATATAATAAGGTCATCACACCAATACACAATATGATAGTGACGTTCACTTAACTAATCTCACAGTTACTAAATATATCATCTATATATATAAAGTCCTATTTTCCTCTACTCTTACAAGGACCATAAGATTTACTACAGTATAGAAAATATACAAAATTTACAAAGCTCAATGCACAAATAAAAGCATAATAGTAGTCATAATGGCCCTTGTTTATGTTGCTTGAAAGCCAACTTTCATGTCCTCCACCTCCAGTAACACTGTCAACAACACTCAGAAAGAAACTTGCTACCAAATCTGCAACCGAAGTCCCAAGGCCACTAAGAGTGGATGCTAAGCTAGACATAGATGGAGGTAGCTCAGTGAGAAAAAACTCATTCTGTCCAATAACACTTGAGGCCTCAGCCAATCCATCAAGGACTTGGCGTGGCAATAGCCACATAGCAGACATGTTCACCACAGCTTGTGGTTCATCCGAATACCCTTGCTCAATAGCAATTTTGCGTCTAATACTCTCTACAAGTGCCAGTGATGCGAGTGCTATGCAACTAGTTAAAAGGCCAACTCCTATTTTTTGTTTTGCTCCTATGCGTGCCGGGCACCCTTTGATCTTTGATGCCACAGGGACGAAAATGCGGTCATAAATTATAACCCAAAGTATTAGAGATACAATCATAAATGTCCCAAAGGAGGCTGAAGGAATTTGGAAGTTTGAAGTGACGTGGCGGTCCATGGAGGATGCTTCTAGTACCAGAAAGGAACCCTGACTCAGGTTCACAGCCATCATGATTCCTGTTGTCCAAATTGGGACTATCTTCACGAGTGCCTTCAGTTCTTCCACTTGGTTTACTGTGCAAAGTTTCCATGGATTCACTGCTCTTCCGTCTGGTGTTAGATCTTGTAAGGGATTTCTAATGATGCATGCTTTGTTGAGAAACCTAGCCAATAAAAATACTGCTAAATTAAGCCTTTGCTCTCAATTTATTACCCAAAAATATTTTACAGGACTATTCAAGTGAACTAGAAATCATCCAAATAGCATATGGACAAAACTAAGATGAAGTTCTCTAGATGTTTTTGGTATTGTTCTTTAATTAAAATTATTGTTTAATCACGATAATTTATATAACAAAAGTTTTCATTAAAGATCTATGTAGGTTACTAAGGTGAAACTTAAATTTTGATTTAACAACAGCAACAAAAAACATAAGTGACTGCATGCAAGTTTTGTCCATAGCATATATATGCAAGGTTTCAATTTGATGTACATCACGATCATTAACTAACAACTATTAATTATCCATAATGGCACATGATCCACCGGACCAATATTGTAATACTCAGTTAAAAATAGCAATCAAACTTACAGAAACTCTAATAAGTAATAACAGGTAGTTTTCAAGTAAAAACTTAATTAACAACTGTGCTGGTTGTCCAAAGGGGGGGATTGGATTTGATTTTGATGCAATTAGTACCCGTGTTTCTAACAGTAGTGAACATCTCATAAGTCATGACAATCTGATGATATCGAAATTCCAAAAGCATGATAAACTGAACAAGAAACAAAAACATACCTTAATTTTTCAGTTGGCATTAGGAGATCGGAATCCTTCTCAAGGTGGTAGACACCATTCTCTTCCTCCTTTGGTAACTGCAGAAGTCTATTTCCGTAAGAGGCTACAAGGACCTGAGCTAACCCACTTAGCATGTTCCTTTTAACCCCCACCATTACATAAAATGAAGAAGCTAAGAAAAATGATACAGTTGCGAGCAACATAAGGATAACTGGAATTCCAAACCCCACTGTCCACCCCATGTTATCTTGAATGTAGACAACAACAGTTAAACCTATCAGTGATGACATTGATACAGCAGCATAATACCAACTGAAGTAGCTATCTTGGATTCCTGCATCTTTGTCCCTCTTACTCAACTGATCAACACCAAAGGCCAAGGAGCATGATCTTATGCCTCCAGCCCCAACGGACATGAGAGCAAAGGAAGAATGCAAGATCAAAAGCTGAATTGTTGTGGGGGAGTTATTACAGCTGCTGGTAAATTGGTTACAAACTGGCTTTGACATAGGAATCAAAGTTGTTAACCATAGAAGAATCATTCCCTGCACAATCCCAAGACAAACAAGAACCAAAAACAAATTTTAATACACGAATATTATTTATGCACCACAGTGCTTCTCATTACTTATGATTTCATGTTGTACCCTCCGAATCCAAATGTGATTAGAGTAAATATACTGATATGGATCATTGTGTCAGTTATTTACCAGTTTATAATCAAGACAAACATCAAATGGTTTACCATCATAACCATAATTATAGGATGGAATTATTTTATAATATGTGTTTAAGGAGATAATTTTATAAGATTATTTTACATATAACTCTATAATGATGAGATAATGAGATATTGCCTGTTTTGAACCTAAGTTCTCACGATTTTATTTTTAGTTATCACTCAAAAAATCTTTCAAACACTAGAATTTGTGTGTTTTATAAATTATTATATCTTTTCTTATTTTATTAATGTGAGACTTGTTTATATATATTTCAAAATTATATATATTTCCGGTAACCAGGGTCAAATGTGTTTATGCTGGGATTTTTGGAAAATGAGTCTAGAGAATTCAAAATTTTAATATTCCCAAATACAAATATATAACCCCTACTAAGTTAAGATGGAACAGATTATACTCTTAATGTTCTGAGTTTGGATGTTGCTACGTTTTCTAGATGGTCCTCCATGCCGGAACACATGTCTTGAATGATATTGGCACACAAAATTAACAAACAAAACAAGAGCTGCTAAGCTGAGCAGCGGAGGTAAAATGAGTAAGTGAAAAGAGAAAAGAAAGAAAAATACCAATAAGCTTGCCATAGATCCAAAGGCAATCATGGAATATCGACCCACATAGGAGTCTGAAAGGACAGCACCAATGAAGGGTGTGAAATTGGAGGCAGCGGACCATAGTAAGAGAAAATTAGTGGCTTCTGCAGTCTGCATGCCATACTCTCTTGTCAAGTACAATATCATGTTAGGCATTAGCCCAAGGCTAGCCAGTCTCTCAAAAGCCTCATTTGCTGCCACAAGAACATTTATTTACATACAAATTAATAAGGTTTAACAATTGGGAAATTAACATGCATCTGAATAAGTGATACTTCATTACCTATGATGAAAGGTAAGGTTCTGAAGCCGCCCTTGGGGTTGGAGTTCTGCTTGCTCAGAAGAGGTTCTTCTTTCAAATTTTCCAATTCTGAGAGGCTTTCCATTGCCAGAGACACGGTAAAGGGAGATTGTGTGGCTGTGATGAATTGAAAAGTGCACTGCATTAAATACCATATCCAATGTGACACCAAACAGTGGAAATAGACCATTCAGAAACTAAAAACCAAAATGATTCTACATGTTCCCGTAAGAATCATCATCATACACGTGTGAAATTAATGTATCTCTCAGGAAGAGAAATAGGAAGTGTGTGGAACCGTCTAACTTATCCCAATGAATGCAGGGTTAGAAGTTCAACCTTATCATTGATTATGAGTACGAATTTATCGAAAGTTATAAAAATCATCTGAATCTAATTTCATCTTATCATTAAATTTCAGTTAATAATGAAAAGTACGTATATTAGAAGAGTCTGTTGAAATTAGTGTTGACATGTTTTTATCTTAAACGAACGAACATAACTAAGACAATTTTTATATTAAGACTCGTTTTAATAGGTTATATTGATACAAAGAAAAGGGATACAAATAGACACTTAAGTTACCATGTAGTAGATGAAATTATATAGCCTCATTTTCACAAAGAATAAATCAGAGAAATATACCTTCAAAAAAAAAACCAGAGAAATATAATGCGAGTAAAGTCATAAAAATGTGTTAATTACTTACTTCAGGAAGACCCTTTCCACTGTTTGTAAACTTGATTCAAGAATACACCTCAGCTCTGATCTGCGTATGTTCTGCATTGTCGTGTTCTTATACTGGTTGTTCTATTCCTTTCTTCATCTTCTCAAAAGAATCAAAAGTTAGTCTCAATAATTTTTTATTTATTAAAGAATGGAACAGTTAGTTCTAAAATCAAGGAAGTGATAATTCACACCCAACTTTATTTAAACAAAATGATTCCATAGCGTAGCGTGTTAGACACCGATCACTTTGCTACAAAGCATGTGGGTGAATGAAATAATTACCCAAGTTTTTATGCTCTTTTAACACTTTTCTGATGCTGGACTCATCTCTCCTTATACTAATATGATTGCAACGTTAGAATTACCTTGTTCTGATTTTGAAGTTTGTAAATAAATTAATCATAAATTTGTCTTAACTAAGGGTGACAATGTGACATACACTGATTCCTAATTTCCTCTTATAGTTTATTGATTTGGTGAAAGTGAAGTTTTAGTATTCCTTAAAAACGATTAGTTGAGATTCGGAATGAAAAAATATACAATATAGTGTAATTAGAGGAAAGATTCCATTTAAGTAAAGGATAAAGTAAAGTGTCAGGTGTATCCGGTGACATAGATTCAATCACGTGATTCGCATTACGTTGTATAAGAGCACCTCCAATGAAGTTGTTTATAAGCAATCACACTTATTATATCAGCCTAAAAAGGAACAAGTGAATTATTTAAAATTTATCAAAATTGCTTATATAAACACCAGTTCTTAAGAAAAAGGAAAAAATGAAGCCGATGTAGCACGTGAAATTACTTATAAACAACTCCATTAAAAATGCCTTAAAAGCGCTTACCGACAAGCATGTGTCTTTAACAGTAAATATTTTACTGTAATTGCAAAGCCGTTAAAGGGCTTACCTCACCCATTCCGCCCGCCATAAGTTACTTAAAAAAGGTGAGTGTCTCGAACATGCGCACTTTTGGGTGAGTACCAATAATCAAGTCCATTGTATAATATAACTTCTTTTTATCTCTCTATCATTAATAATATTATAGTACAATTTCTTGTTGTATATGTAATATTATTCAAACGAATTTGAAAAAACAGATTAAATGATTTTGAAGAATCAAAGTCACAGTAATTTTCTCTAATTTTTAATTATTAGATCAATATTTCTTTTTCTAACTTTTTTCCAAACATCCTATAATGTTATAAAATAAATAAAATACTTTAGTAAAATATAAAATATAATAATTAAAAATAAAAAAATTATTTCTAGGTTTAAATATTTTTTGTTCATGTAATATATCAGTTTTTTATTTATGATCCCTAGAAAATTTGCTAAAATTTTGGTTATTATAATTTTTTTGGTGTTTGTTGTTGTTACTTTTTCTCTATTTATACATGACTATCAAACATAAACCACTAAAATTTGCTTGAAACATATGTATTTAACGAACACACACGTCATGCAAAAAATAGTAAAAAAAAATATCGGTAGAGACCAAAAAATTATAGGAACCAATAGTTAAGTAAAAAAATTATAGGGATAAAAAAACTAAAAACATGTATATTACAGGAAAAAAATAGTTAAGCAGGAACAATAAAATTATTTTTTATTTATATATTTATATTTTACTAGTGTTTTATTTGTAAAATGAGAATGTTACAACAACTTTGATTCTCCAAAGTCACCAAATCCATTTCCACAAATTTGATATGGACTTTTCCCGAGTTGGTGAAATAAATGATTAATTCAATTTAATTAAAAACACACAAAAAGAAATTGAACTTAATAAAAAAAACACTTTTTATTGTAACTTCCGATCCAAAATTGTACTAATTAAAATATATTAAATAATATTATTCAAATAAAAATCAAAAGGAACTCAAAAAGTGCGTAAATGAGTGGTGAAAATAATTAGGATTTTGGACTTCATAAGATACTTATATGTTAATGTAATATGGTATAAAATTTATGAATTTAGAGAAATTTAATGAAAGTAATTGTAAGTGAAGATAAGAGATTAAGGACTTCATAAAAAGTAATAAGACATTGTACGTTAAATGGTTGGAAAAGTGCTTCATGAAGGAGACCCGTGATGAATTATTGATGTGCATTAGTACAAATATGTGATTGATTGTCATTAATGATTATGCAACGTGATGATGTTGAGAGAAAATAATAAAAAAAATCATTCACTTTTATTTGAAAACAATGATGGACAATGTAGTTTGCTTGTGTTGCACTTGATGTGCTATTATGGAAAAAGAAAGAAGTGACCATGCAAACATATTCATGTGCAAATCCCAATGGGGGAGACAAAAATTATGGGTGGGGGTTGAGAGGCATGTATGTTATAGTTGCAAATTAAAGTTATGCAGTTTGATTTATTGGTTTTGGGAGATGAAGTTGTGGGCTTTTGCTCATGTTTGCATGACTTGTAGTTGCCCTTGTGTACCTTTGAAGAATACAACTTCGTGCAGAACTTGAAAGAATATCGTCTGCGACGATGTCCTCAAAATGAGGATGTGGATAACCATAGAAGGTACTTGAGATATACTCGTTGACTTCAGGTCTTTGGGATAGTAAAGCACTAGGTTGCAGAGACTCAGTGCAATTGGAGAATTCACATATGTTGGCTAGCAAATCCCAACAAAATAATACGAGGCATAATCATGATTGGTGAGAACGTCTACACCAAGTACATGGATAAAATGTGTGCTCCGAATCATTATCCATAAAGAAACTTGTAAGACCACTAGGTTTTAATGGCATGATGGGCTCAATCAGTAAGTTTTTGCTATATATATATATATATATATATATATATATATATGTCGT